CGAATCATAAATAGAAAAAGTCGACTAGACTGGACTATTTGAAGCCATAAACGAATGAAAATATAAACTTCGTTTTCTTCTTCCATTGTTTCACTTTTTTCCTTCATTCTCGTTTAGATGAAAATTATACGAGAGTGAAATGATGCCGTTATAAATATGTCATAAATGGTGATTTTATTTTGTGATTTATCTTATTATTTACTCGTTTATTTTTGTAGTGCGAATATCCATGGTCGATTGCAGAATGGAATTTATGACACATTATTACCATATTTGTGGATTTATACCTCTTAAAAATAAAGGAATGTCAATGGTCTAAATAGTTCATCTCTGTAATTAAAAAATAAATAGTTGATTGAAGTATTATGCCTTCTCAGGCAGACCAAATTATGAGTCCATTTAGACATATATCGTCAAAAACTGTTTTGCATCCAGAAATACAATTGGCAGTTTCCAAAAGTACGTCACTACAAAAAGATTGCGATTATGCAAATAGTAAATCGAAAAAACCACAAGTTCATTTATTATAAAAATTGGCACAAGAAGAACAACCAAATAGAGAAAATCAATAAGCCGTGATGAATGAAGAACGTCCTAATTCAAAAGAATAAAATGAACACTGATTCTGGATAACATTTAAAGAAACAGCCTCCATAATTATTAACAGGGCATTCAATAACCAAACGTGGCGATTCAAAAAATGGAATAACAGTATTCTATTTTCAACATTGAATATTTATGCACCCGAACCGGATAAAATGTATTTGGAAGACAAAGTTTGTGGGTTCTCTTCAAATTCTGAAAATATCAACCACTCAAACAAAATAAACGACGGTCAACAATTCCGAAAAACATATTTTATTATACAGTTACAAATAAGTGAATAAGTTGCAAAAATAGTGTATTCCTTTGAAATAAAGAATTGACACGATTTTTATGGAAAGAACACACGAAGAGCAGCGTTTATTTTTTAATGTAAGAAATCAAAGTCGCGATACAAGCTACAGGTATGTTCCTGATTAGGTGTGGAACTGATCTGGCGACAAAAAAAATTCCTCACAGGTGATAATTTCACTTGAGGTTTTGGGATTCAATATTTTTATGAGGATTATTTCAATAGAACATATTTTTGTGAAACCATGTCTCGAATATCAGTTTGTTTCAAAAGTTTTGTCCGTTTTAATGTCATGTGTTTTTGTAACTCCATATTTCAATAAATATTTATTCAACTATGTGGAATTATATATTGATCGATTGAGAATTTTGTACTATATTGAATGGTGTTATGTCGTTAAGCGATTTTTGGCAAATATTTCTCTACGAATTCAAATTGAATCAAAGCGCTGCCGATTTGGTAATGATAGTGTTAATGAACGCCGTTAGTTTGCGAAATTTCTTTCCAGAGATTTCAGCCTCGAAGATGAGCCCCGATGTGGTCGACCTACTACGGTAATCCAGGATGACGATTTGAGGAACCTTGTGAAGACTGACCCATCACAAACATTGTGTGAGATGACGAAAGAAATGGGCGTCAGCTCCCATGCGGTTTTAAAAGGTTCAATACGAATCGGAAAGGTAAAAAACTCGAAAAGTCGGTGCCCCACGATTTGAACTAACAGAAATTGTCACGTTTCGATGTTAGTTCTTCGTTACGTTTGCACAACCAAAACGAGATCTTCTTTTGGATCGGATCTTCACGTGTGATGAAGAGTGGATCCTCTCCACAGAGGTTCTCAAACTTATTTTGTCTACCGCTCACTTTGATAAATAATTATTTTCTAGCGTCCCCATTTTTTTTTACTTTACTACATCTTAAGAATCACAATCGCAGTCATTATTTTAATAATAAACTAATCTAATATAAAATATGAATTCATGATGTTTAACAAGTTTGTTAATATCAGGCTAGAATTTAAAAACAGCCGTAAGTTACCGCGTAAGGTAATCTGCAACCGACTTCTTTATTAGTTAGCAACGTTGCCACAGCACCAAATCATTCACACAAATACGATGATGGAAATGCTATCATAAGTCGTTGAACGATGGACCACAATCCACGGTACAATTGTGGGATTGGCTTTTATAGCCAAAATTCTTGGTATCCATTTTTGAGTTTTATTTTTATTTCCTCGTTCGTGATCAGTTCTATGAGTTCTTCTTCCAGCTGGGGTGATCCTGCTGTGTTGACATTTGAAAAAGGATCCAACACCCAGTCCGGTATTTCCAATTTTAAAATGTCCTGGAATCGTTCTGCGAAACCACTGTGGAGGTTCTCCAAGTGTTGACAGTAAACAAGCAAGTCGTCGTTGTTGAAAGATACTGCTGATAAATTAGGGAAATTGCGAAACTCACGTTTGCCGATATTACTCTTGCATAAGAGCAATTTGGCTACAAAAGCAGCAATGACATTTTTTGTTTTAACCAAATTCAAGTCGTCACTTTGAAGTTGGAGACTGACATAATTTATATAGGCCTGTCAAGTATACGCAATATAATTCTTTGAAGTGAAGACGTTGTCCTGCAATTCTTTGTCTTTGTTTTTCAAGAACTCTATTACAGAGTCAAATAGATTGTAAAATCTTGTAACCTCTTGATAAGGCACTTCTGTGTGAAATATCAATCGGTTGAAATCTTCATTAATAACAAAAAGCTGAATAAATAGTCTGTCATTTAAAGAGCTGTTTCGGATTTTATTGACTGTTTTGATGATATATTGCAGTGATTCTAAATTCTCTTGTTTTCGTAATATCGTTGAATGACATTACTGGCTGGATGGCGCGCGCGCTTTTATATGAGGCAGCAGGCGGGCCTAGTACTTTCAAAAATGTAGACTAGAAACTTCTAGCTTCGCATTAAAACTTACCGTTACACGAGGAAACGCGCGTGTAGCGTAAAGGAGCGGTAAAGTTTGTGTTGAAAGCAAAAAAACATTTTTAAATTATCCTTCGCCCCCCCATAAACCACTTCAACGCCCCACAATCTTCTCTGCTGCTCTACAACAAAGGAAGACGTTCAAGACAGTAGTTGGACACCGATGAGCCACCCAGGTACTTTCCAAAGGCAAAAACACACCAAAAAAAAAGAACATGGTTACTGTATGGTGGCCATTGACTGGTGTGATTCACTATAACTTTCTGCAACCGGTCAAGCCATCACAGCAGAGTCTTTTGTGAGGTGAGGAAATCGACAAAATGTACTGGAAATTGGGTCAGCAGCAGAAACGACAACGCCCATCCGTTCGTTACACAAGTCACCGTCCGATAATTAAACGAATTGAGCTTCAGAGTTCTGTCTCATCCCCCATATTCCCTATACCACTTGCCAACCGATTACCATATTTTCAAGTTCTTCGGTAACTTTCTCAGCGGTAGAACCTTCGCCAACCAGGACCAGACAGAAACGGCCTCCGTCGACTCCATCGAATACCGAGCACACGATTTTTATGCTGATGGAAATAATCGAGTTGTGTTACGTTGGCAAAAGTGCATTGCTTCAAATGGCGCTCAATAAGTATTCACTGAGATATTACAGTTTGAAGTAGACTCATAAAAATGGACATCAATTTTGAAACAACCTAATATTTGTTTCCGAAATGAATGTTCGTTTTTCATGATTGAAACGGAACTGTGACGTGAACCGGTGTAGGAGTGAGTAGGTTACTTTCACATACAGATTTACTACTTTATCAGCAGTGGAGTTGATTTTTTTTAGTTTTCAAGTCAGACAGTGTTTAAAGTGTCGAGATTACCGGATTTTTCTCAACATTTCTTTGGGAACATCTTAAATGCGTTGATATCGGTGATATTCAAAGAGGAATTACAACAGCATGCTGGTCAATTAATGTTTCATTCGAAAAAAGTTGACAAATAATCTGTACCTTCACATATTGAAGAAGACTACCGATTCAATGAAACTCCCTAATATCAAAATAGCTAGAAAGTCAACCTGGTGCAAAAAAGAATATTTTACATTTTCAGAAAGATTGTGATAACACTCATTATTTTCTTCCTGCCTGACAGATGATAATGAAAACCCTAGAATGAACTCATTTATAGGCTTATTTCGTTTGTTTTATTTCAAATCCGTTGTTTATAAAATACATGTTGACACTGATGACCTCGAAAAGGGAATTACAGCGATATGCTGGTTAATACCCAGTGAAATATTCAAAAATTTCAGGGTGGAGCTCGAAAAGTAAGTACGTCTTATGCGTCTTAGCGAATTGATTAATTTTTTGTAAAAGTAAATGAACCATCAAAGATAAAATTTTTATTACTCAAGGGTTTGGACGATACGTCTTGATCTTCTAACCTTTTCGCTTGAAGGAGAGTCAATATAATAATTTTGTTTGATTAGTCGATTGGAAACCATTTTCCTCAGTGCAATCAGTTTCACCAAATTTTTTGTTTAGGGAAATGGACTAATAGCTAAATTGTTTTTCTTGTTTTTTTTTTCGAAATGTCTCTCGCCTATCTGTTTGTCTGCTTCTAAGCGTGAGTATGTTTATATCAATATTCCAGGTGGTTGCGGTTGAAGAAAAATCCCCAAATAGGAACCAAAAAGTACATCAATTCATCAGTCTCTGTTTTCAACTTCTTTCTAATACAAGTATAAGAGAAAAACCTCTCGATTAATTATCAATCAGGAACAAAAAATATAATAATGATAAATACATTTCAATAATACAAAAGTGAAAATAATTTAAAACATAAACAAATGGAAATATTTCCTGACAAAACGCATTCTGCATCAGAGTTATTTTTTTAAAAATGAGATCTGTTTATGGGTTAGAAAATAGTAATTTACGTAACAAGAAAGAGTAGACAAAATTCTAGGATGAGCTGTAGGCGAGTCCTGGAAGTCTGTGAGTCCAAATCGAACATGTTTTTTTGTAATTCACGAAGTATGGGATGGACGTAAAGATAAATATTACCTATACAACAGCATGTTTTCTTGCTCAATTGCAACAAAAGTTCTCTCAATATGTTTTTGGAATCTGGTATTTTAACAAGCATCATTTATTCCTTGTTGTTTATTAGATCAATTGACATTTTTGTTAGTTTTTCCCGTCTACACGCACCGTATAATCCAATAAATGTTTCTACCTAAAAATAAAGCAAATCAAGTTGACACTTTTATACCCTACAATCGTAGTATTTTGTTAAAACTATCTTTAGCATAAGATATGTTCCATTATTTGCTCGCTGTTGAAGACTTCTGAATCCTTTACTCTATAACCAACATTCTTCCTTTCAAGAAATGCGATAACCTTTGGAAAAGTGGCTATGTTCACATTTTTCTTCACTAAATTGGTATTTTTCAACATAGACTACATGCTTCACAAAGTAGAGGATTTGGCGGTTTCATTTATTTGCGTCAAAATTATATCCTCTGGAATAGTTTCGCATTTCTTCATTTACATCCATTTCCAGAACAAATCATGAACGTTTTCTTACATGGACTTTTCAGGCAATAATTGGAGCAGCAGCTGCTGCATGGCCAATTTCACAAGGCATACTTTCAAAGTCACTATCACTGCCGCTTTCCATAGTTCATTGCGATAATTGCCAAAAAAAATAATACAAACTTTCAAAAACCAAAATGTCAACTAATTTCATGTCAAATGTCTGTCAGTCGTTATTTCTCTGCTATGTCAATGATCAACTGCATTTATGAAAAACCATACATACCAAGATTATCATTTATTTACATTGATAACAACGATGTGATTCTCGGACTAGTCCAGGAAGTACGTATTTTCCGAAAACGGGCAGAAAGTATATCCACCGTGAACGGTGAATCAATCCCTTATATTTGATGTCTTCTTATTTTTTTAACTTCTCATCATCAACCCGCAGAAATCCATGGCAAATTCAAAATGCAGTTTTCAGCGAATATTTTTTACAAAACATGATTGTACTTTTACCTGTTACTTACTGAGGTTTCGACTTACTTTGTTTAAAATTGTCTAAACTAAGCTCAACTGCTGACACTGACGCAATTAGTAAGCTTAGCGCACTTTTTTGTACCTGTGTGGAGAAAATCAAATTTAATTTAAAACTGGAATATATTGATTGGATGAAAAATTAACATTCTGAATGTGTTACAGTTTAAATCTCTTTTGAATCTTCTTTTAACATTATTTGATTATTTCAATGCTTTTTGAAATATATCATTTCTAATGAATATGTTGAAACACTATTCGAATTGCTACTCTTTCAAAAGTTACTCACATATCAGTGTTGCTATCTCCATTTTGAAGGCCGTCGTAGTTTGGAACTGCGTCCTAATGTTTCGCCAGCACGAGTGGCTGGCTTCTTCAGAGGTTTATTCATCTTGATGATTCACCGATGACTCATCAAGAGTCATTCATCAAGATGAGTAAACCACTGAAGAAGCAGGCACTCGTGCTGGCGAAACGCTAGGATACAGTTCCAAACCACGACGACCTTCAAATTCGAATGAAGATTGTAACAATGAAAATCTCTGCCGTGAAAGTCTCAACCAATTTACTCAAAAATGCTTCAAATCTTATACTTGAATCAATGTTTATATATGAATATTCAAAATATAATGATTGAATGAAAAATGAACATTAAAACTAATAATATGAAGAGAAATGATTTGTTTGTTTGTACTAGATCAAACCAAAAACTACTGAACCATTTTGAACATTATTTCACCAATTGAAAGCTACGTCATCAGCGAATAAAATGGACTGTATTTTGTTCAAAAAAAGCAAACCAAGGTATCACAAATTTGCCAATAAAAGTCAATTATGCGACTTGCTTTCCGGAAAAATTTACTAGTAGCATATATGACAATATTTTGTTGTGTTGTAGTGTCACATCATCATGCAAATAATAATGGTGATCTAACTTGAACAAAAGTAGGTTTATAATTTTCAATTTTAATTTTGAAATAGGCAAGTATGTATATACCTACGTAAAGAAAATACAATGTAAAAATGCTACTTTATTCTTTGAATTGATTCACTACTTAAAATAAACCTATCGCGATTATAACCTTTCTTTATCACACGTGTCGCAGTTCGTCAGATCACTTTAAATTATTTTCTCACGCAATAATTTTTATTTGGCGATAAGTGCTGAGATATTAATTTGAATTGTAATTCATTTTGCAAAAATCGTAAAAACTGTTGCCCTCCATATCTTTCAAATAATGATCCATTTATCATACCAGCCCATAAGTAAATACAAAACTGGCACTGAAAGCGATAGTTCTTAATTATTCGTGGGTTAGGTTACGTAAGGTCCAAAGTGAGTGGGTCTATTCGACCCTCCACCGCAACCTGCAAGGATTTATTGTGTCTCAAACTTATTCACACTCGACCAAATAAACCCAGCTTCTTAACGAAGCTGATTACTTTGTATGGTCAGATCCCGAACTCTAAAAACCTGATTCAGTCCTCATCGAGGAAGGCACAAAGTATGTGCTCTACTGTTTCATCATTTTCCAAACAGAGGCGACAAACAATATTTTTTGACAGTTCGAGTCTCTGCATATGATGATTCAAATGACAGTGACCTGTAAGAAGACCTGTTAGACATCGTAGTTCATCCCTATTGTAGTCCAACAAATGTTTGGTATCAACCTTCGAAGGGTGAATAAACGCCTTAGAGTGAGCCAATCCCGGAAAATTCTGCCAGAAGTCCATAAATCTTTTTGCCGTTCAGGTGTTCAATCTTTGTTTGTCAAAGCCTAAAGCGATACCAATGACACGTTGTGGTACGATAAAGCTGTTTGTAGCACCCTCCTTTGCAAGGGAGTCAGCAGCCTCATTGCCTTCCAGGCCAGTATCGCCAGGAATTCAGACCAGGGACAATATATTAAGTCTTTCTATCGAGGAAAGTCGTTTTTGCCATTTGCTACCAATTCAGATGTTGCTCGGTAGTAGCCAAGAGCTTCCAGCGCCGCTTGACTGTCCGTGAATATTTTTATTGACTTGTGAGTCAAGCGTAAATTTCCGTTTGAAATACAGTATAGATTCCTAGGCAGGTTGATATCTCTGCCTGGGTCTGCGACTAAAAACACCTGCACCAGAACCGGAAGGTGTTTTTGATCCATCTGTGAGCCAACAACTATCTGCTTTTGATATTTCTTTCTCCCGAAGGATCCAGTCCTCTCCACTCGGGACAGTACTTTATAAAGCAGTTCGGAGTTGACAGTTGGAGGCATAAAGTCAGAGGTCATTTCTAGAATGCTGTGACTTCTAGTGTCAATCAACAGTCTGTTGTACTCTGCATTAAATTGATTTGTGCAATTGGTAATGTACACAAGGCTACATGCAGTCCATCTAGTCTCTCTCTCTACAGAAAAATGTGGAGAGGAGGTAGATCTAGAAGAATCTCCATGGCCGCTGAAGGTGTGGTACTGTTGGCACCACTGATGGTCAGACATGTATGTCTTTGTAAGCCAGAGAGCTGTAAAGCCTTTGGCCACCAGGCAATTACACCATAAGTGATCATTGGCCTGACAAATATCACATGAATCCAATGGATTTGTTTGGGACCTAAACCCCAAGTTTTACTGCAAATCCTTCGACACGTCCATAGGGACGGTCTGGCTTTGTGTAAAACTTTTTCCAAGTGAGCGTTCCAGGTGAGTTTTTTTTTTATCAAGGACAATGCCAAAATATTTCACCTCCGTTCCAAATGGAATGACCTCACCATTGAGGTAGGTACTCTACTACTACTAAAAAAGACACAGTTGGGATCCGCCCAGAAAAAATCGAACACCCTGTGTGACCGCCAATATTTTTATTTTGTCGAGCTCGAGCAATAAGGTAATATTATAGAAAATTAGATTCCTATCTGCTTCCTATATAGAGGTATGGAACACCGCGCCACTGTTGCAGGACCCTGTATAATAAGTAGTGATTTGATTGATAATTTGTTACTTGTGCAGTCACAAATCAATAGGCCTTGAGAATCGGAGAGACAGTATTTCACACGAAAAATACAATACACGACATATGTAATAAAGAAGCAAATTACAATCCTGATATGTTTTCAATGGTTTCCGATCTGACTAAATGTATCGCAATTCCGCAGAGTGAAGACGGTTTGACAGTTATGGAAGGGTTGAATTATTGTTGCCAGTAACTTAACTTATGCAAATGGACTTTGGGCGAGTGGCGACTGGGGGGAGTTTACCGCAAATGTCTGATGGACCTTCCTCTCTTTTTCGACAGACTGATTGATGAATGGCACCAATCAACTACCGAATGAATTAGTTGAGAGAATAGTTCATGCTGATTTGTCTGAATGTATTCCGAAACCGTTTGCAAGTCTCTGAATCGTGTTTATTAATCGCACCTTATGTAATACATTTTCATATCAAAACGGTATATGCACAGATGAATACAATTGGCCAAAAATTGGGTAATGGAATTGGTAAATGCTACTTCTGAGTTTTTTATGCTAATCAGGCTAACTATTTTTTTTCACTTCCCAAAAATTTCCAGTTTTGACAATCAGCAATTCCAGTCTACATTTTATTTTCCTTTTTCAAAAGATGAATATCATTATTGGTGTGCCCACAATAAACTGATACTCCAACTGAATAACTATGTATTGAAAAAGTGCTATCATTATTCAGTGGTGTAACTATACCATCTGAGGCCCGCGGCAAATTCACTGGATTGAACCACAAGAAAAATCGTTTCATTGTAATTTAATTTCAATAAAACACTGAGATATTTACCCAACAGTAATATTGTGTCCATTTCAGTTGAATATCTAATTTTCAAATTCATAGGTGATACATATCTTGAAATAAGATACTCGAGAAATTTATACTTCGCACTGGTGGAATCACAATTGAGGTACGGAATACTATTTTGGGGAGATGCCTGCAATAATCAAATGAACGGACTCGACGTACTCCAGAAAGGGATACTGAAGATGCAGATAATATACTCGAAAGATCGACTATATTCCAGTGATGGAATTTATCAACTAGCAAAAGTTTTAGATAGTAAGCAATTATTCTTGAACGTCTTGGTAGCGAAGCAGAAAATAGAAGGATCTAAAAATTACTATGTGCACATATATAATACTCTGAAAGGAGATAACCACCTCGCAGTGGCCTCGTCTCTAAAACGATATCCCAACGTTCATCATATTTCTTCAAACACAGAGTATACATTACAGTTCCCAGTGAACTGAAAACAATCAACTCGTTAAGCCTATTCAAGAAAGAACTGAAAAATTGGATTGAATAGAGCTGGCCGATAATTGATGAAAATCCATATTAAAAAACTAATCAATACATTTTATTGTATGATTTTCACTATAAGGGTTTTACAAGCATAAACTTGTTTATACTTGAAGAAGCTATTGCATAGCGAAATACGTGTCGCGGTTTTTGTTAAACCCTTATAGTGAAAATCATACAATAAACTGTATTGATTAGTTTTTTTTTGAAAAATTGGATTGCAAACCTTCCTAGATCATTCACCTATCAACTGGTCGATATAAAGAATGAATTCTGAAATAATACATTAGGACCAAGAGACGTTTTCAGTGTAGACTAAGTTTTCTTCAATGAAAAAGTATAGATACTATAAATCTCGAATAGCTCCAT